GACTGAAGGGTCCCAGGTTCGATTCCGGTCAAGGGCATGTACCTGGGTTGCAGGCACATCCCCAGTAGGGAGATTGCAGGAGGCAGCTGATCGATGTTCTTCTCTCATTGATGTTTCTAGACCTCTGTCCCTCTCCCTTCCTCTCTGTGAAAAATCAATAAAATGTATCAAAAAAAGAAAAAGAAAAGAAATTAGACTTTGGCCTGGCTGGTGTGGCCCAGTGGTTGAGCCTCAACCTCAAAACCAGGAGGTCACGGTTCGATTCCCGGTCAGGGCACATGCCCGGGGTTTCAGGCCCGAATCCCAGTAGGGGGCGTGCAGGAGGCAGCTAACCAATGATTCTCTCTCATCATCGATGTTTCTATCTCTCTCTCCCTCTCCCTTCTTCTCTGAAATCAATGGAAACATATATTTTTTTAAAATAAAAGAAAGAAAGAAAGTCACGTAACTTACCCAGACTCTCCGGACTAGAAAGGAGTGGAGCTGGGACTGTACCCAAAGCTGCCTCCACGCCTCTGCCGCCCACCCCCGTCCCCCAGGCCTGAGGGGGCTCAGCCAGCGGAGCGGGAGGGAGCCACAGGGTCCATTTGGTACTGGAAGCACATACAAACCCCGCTCTTCGGACCTCAAATAAGGCACCTGGTGGCAGATGCAGCCTAATCCCGGCCTTACCCAGGACTCCTCAGTGTCACCAGCAGGTCACGGTCATGGCCGCTCGTCGCGGTCAAATCAATCCCGTCTCCCAGCCCCATTTCGGCCCCTTAACGACATTACCGCGTCCATGCCGCCTCATTGTTATGCGATTATTTCCTCCAAATCAGTTGATTCATGGATTCTCTCTTCTTCCGATTCAATTACGGTTTCCTTGCGTTCTGGGCCGTCTGGGCGCTAACGGACGGACGGACCACCCCCCTTCCTCGTTCCCGCCTCCGTGGAAGCCACAGCGTAGACAGGGAGCCTTGCTCTGTCTCCCATCTTTTCACGTGATTATCAGGCAGTTATTTCGGGACGCCAGCCTGTTCTGTTGACCGTACAGAATGTCATGATACTCTGGACTTAGGACTGAAGATGGTATTTGATTATTTGGGTATTGCTGGGGGGGGAGGGGGCGCGGGGAGTGGCGGGCGAGAGAGAGAGAGAGAGAGAGAGAGAGATGAGGGACTTGCCCTGATATGGATGTTAAGAGGAAATTACATCTAAAACTGGGCAAGCACTGTGAGCCACAGGTGGATGGTGTTGGAGTGTATCTGCGATTCTAACAGGGGCCCGAATCCTCCACGGAGGCGGAAGTCAGTTAACTGGCTTTACAAACTGTAAGCTGGGATACAACTTAGAAGAAATCGGTCACGGCCTGGCCCGTGTGGCTCAGTGCTTAGCACCGACCTATGAACCAGGAGGCCTGGCCCGTGTAGCTCAGTGGTTAGCATCAACCTAGGAACCAGGAGGTCAGGGTTCGATTGCCCGTCAGGGCACAGGCCCGGGTTGCGGGTTCGATCCCCAGTGGGGGACGTGCAGGAGGCAGCCGATCCATGATTCTCTCTCATCATGGTTATCTCTCCCTCTCCGTCTTCCTTTCTCTCTTAAATCAATAAAAAAAATTTTTTTTTTAAAAAAGAAGGAAGACAAAATAGGTTATGTACACCATTATCATTATAAAATGTTCAACTTTGTCTTGTTACCTTTATTATCTTGAAATCTATTTCATCAGATATAAATATGGCTAAACCTGCATTTCTGTCTATGCTATTTGCTAAAGAATCATTTTCCACCTTTTCAATTTGAATCTAGATGCGTCTTTGCAGCTTAGATGTGTCTCCTGAAGGCAGCATATGGTGGGTTTACGCCTGAGAACGGTACAATTCCTCAGACTGCCAATCAATGATTCTCTCTCCTCATTGATGTTCCTCTCTCTCCCGCCCTCCCTTGCTCTGGGGGGGGCGGGGGAGGGTCCTGCGTTTCGGTGGGAACAGCGGCTTCTGCTGCTGCAGTGTCTCTATCACGTGCTCAGGATTGAAAATGTATTCACGCCGCCTTCTCCTGCGGGCTGTTTTTCCCCTCTTTCAATTATTGATTATTGATTATTGGGTTTGTTTTTTCCAGATTCAAGACGACTGGAAGTACGTGGCCATGGTGATCGACCGCATTTTCCTGTGGGTTTTCATCCTGGTGTGCATCCTGGGGACAGCCGGGCTGTTCCTGCAGCCGCTGATGGCCAGGGACGACCCCTGATGGCCCGGACGACCCCTGGGCGCCGACTGTGCACCTGCCTGAGGGGTACTGGGTGTCGGGAGGGAAGGCAGGGAGCTGGGGAGAAGCCCTTTTTATTTTTATTGTGATAAAACACCCTTAGCATACAATTTAACATCGTAACCTTTTCACACGCACAGCTCAGTGGTAGCCAACGGTCACACTGCTATGCAATGGTCATCACCATCGATCCCCATGACCCTTTCCATCCTGTGACACTGAAACCACATGCCCATTAAACAGCGACTCCCGTCCCCCCTTCCCCGGCCCCTGCCAACCACCATTCTACTTTCTTTCTTTTTTTCTGACCCAAAATGTTAAGATTTTATTCACAAAGCTTCCTTGCTGCACAGAAAGGAACTATGCTATTCCAGTCTTGGTGCAACCGGTAGCCACAGCCGGCGGACTCACCCGTCACAGCGATCCACGCGACAGCGAGAGTCTTACAGGGAAACCTAACAACGCTGGCGGTTTTGTCGGGGTGTAGTCCCGAGCTCGGGGGTGAATTTCCCAAAGGGACTAAACGGGCAGAGGAGGGATGTCACAGGAGCTATTCTCTGGCTCGTGGGTGGGTGGGTGCGTGTCCTCGGGTTTGTATCACAGCTACCCTTAAAAAAAAAGAGAAAGAAACAGCTACGAAATCCATACGAGCAGTCCAGTCAATCCTGAAGTTTTCTTCTTTTCTTTCTTTTAAATATATTTTTATTGAATTCAGAGAGGAAGAGAGAAGGAGAGAGAGAGAGAAACATCAGTGATGACTAGGTTACCTCCCAGAGTCCTTGCAACTCCCAGATTCTAACTGGAATGAAAGAGATAAAACTGAAACCGTGCGTGGATGTAAAATGTAGGATGTGCTCATACAGCGTCAGACTGCCACCTTCCGTTTCAGAAGATGGTTTTCTCACAGAACAATTCAGGGGTACCCACCGACGTGTTTTTTAAAATGGGATTCGCTTAATCGTCACAGACGCATCTAAGGTCAAGGGGTAAAGAGATGAGGCCCAGGGGTTGAGCGTCGACCTATGAACCAGGAGGTCACGGTTCGATTCCCAGTCAAGGGCACAGGCCTGGGTTGCGGGCTTGATCCCCAGTGCGGGGCGTGCAGGAGGCGGCCGGTCCAAGATTCTCTGTCGTCATGGATGTTTCTATCTCTCCTTCTCCTTTCCTTTCTCTGAAATCAATAAAAACATAATTTAAAAAAGATAAAGAGATGTTACTACAATTTATATAGAAGGTGGTGCTACTGGTTGTGGAACACATGGCCAAGGGGACTGAAATGAATGGAGTTGTCTTGTATGATTTCACAGTGGAAGGTAAAATCCTATAAAATAAAGAGCTAATATGCTGATGGCTGTGACGCCCTCACACCGTAACGACCGTTCAGCAGAAGGCTGTGTGGGTGGTGGGACGGAGCCGCCTTGTTGCTCCGGAGATGGGGCGGAGGTGGGGAGGCTCCTGGAGGAGGCGGGACCAGCCCGGGGTGACTCGTGGGACCGAGGGCGGGGCTTGAAAAAAATGTTGGTTATAGAAACTCTGCATCGTATTCCATCGTCATCACCCCCAGTGGCCAGCTCACTGAGTATAGTCGTGTGATACCGCGCTGACGGAGAGCTGCTGGCGCGGTAGACACGGCGCAGAAAGAGTTAAAAGAGTGTGCCTTCACCAAACGCAGACCCCGTTCTGAAGTCCCTCTTTCCAATACGACAGGAATTTTCCGGCGCATCACAACAGGGACCTCTCTGTGGATTACAGACTATTACGCATTTTCAAAACCGTTATCAGCCTGGATCCAAGAGTCACATGTTTGCTAGGACAGGCCAGATACTGCTCTGCTGCTATTCCGAGGAGATCGGGTGTGATTCAGTCAGTGACCGCGTTAGTCGTGCAGATAGATTTTTCTAGTGGGCAAGTCTGTTACCATAAACGGACGCTAGCATCTGTCCACCTGTTCGGGCTTGCGGGCATTTTAAACACAGCTGGCGTTTTCCTCATTCTACGGGTGCCCTAAGGCACATACGTACAGTGGAACCTCGTTTCCCGAACGCCCCCCGTCGCGACAACTCGCTTCTCACCCTGACAACCCTTTCGGGCCGGTACCCGGAGGGTCAGGCACAGTCCCTCAGGTGACGGAAGCCAGGATGTATGAATATGAGTCCCTTTCCCACCGTTACAATCTCCGGATGCGGTGCTGTGAATACTTACGCGGTTTTGTTTGTTTGTTTGTTTTGCTTTTGTGGCTGCTTATGCTCATTGTTACATTTTCATTTTTTTTTAAATCTATTTTATTGAGTTTTTAGAGAGGAAGGGAGAGGGATAGAGAGTTAGAAACATCGATGAGAGAGAAACATCGATCAGCCGCCTCCTGCACACTCCCCACTGGGGATGTGCCCGCAACCAAGGTACATGCCCTTGACCGGAATCGAACCTGGGACCTTTCAGTCTGCAGGCCGACACTCTATCCACTGAGCCACACCGGTCAGGGCTACATTTTCATTTTTGAAAAATATATTTTATTGATTTTTTACAGAGGGGAAGGGGGAGGGATAGAGAGCTAGAAACATCGGTGAGAGAGAAACATCGATCAGCCGCCTCCTGCACGCCCCCTACTGGGGATGTGCCCACACCCAAGGCACACACCCTTGATCGGAATCGAACCCGGGACCCTTTGGTCCGCAGGCTGACGCTCTATCCACTGAGCCACACCGGTCAGGGCTACATTTTCATTTTTAACTGTACATTTCCTTTTCATTAAACTTCCATTTATATTTCATGTCCTTTTTGCTGTTAAGGTGTTTATTTCTAGATGAAACAGTACAAGAGACATGCACTAGGTATAAGAAAGGTTAAGCCCTGGCTGGTGTGGCTCAGTGGGTAGGGCATGGGCCTGTGGACTGAAGGGTCCCGGGTTCGATTCTTGTCAAGGGCACATCCCCGGGGTTGTGGGCTCGATCCACAGTTGGGGGCGTGCAGGGGGCAGCCGATCGATGATTCTCTCTCATCACTGATGTTTCTCTCTCTCGCCCCCTCCCTTCCTCTCTGAAATCAATAAAAATATTTTTTTAAAAATTTAAAACAGGGAATCATTTGGGGGTCTGGAACGGATTAATTCAACTTACATGATTTCTAATGGGGGGAAAATGATTCGGTTTTCAGACAGCCTCTCGGAAAGCATCAAGTTCGAGAAACGAGGTTCCGCTCACTGTACCTGCCTTTTGGTAACCAGAACGCCTGCTACCGCGCGGGGAAGCGTCACGTGTTGGCGGTTCCGACTGGAGCGGGAGCCAGGATCGTGGCCCATTTATAAACCACGGGAACGAAGAGCCCCAGGGAGCCGACCACCGAGACCACGAGGAACGTCCACAGGAAGAGCCGGTCGAGGACCCGGGCGATGAACTTCCAGTCTTCAACCACCTGTGGCCAAAAAAGAAAAAGGCCCACATTCAATACAGAACTCAACACTGTGCTCATCTTCAGATATGACCGGCTGCCCCGGCCGGGAGGCTCAGTGGGTAGAGCGTCGGCCTGCGGACTGAAGGGTCCCGGGATTGATTCCCGGTCGGGGCACAGGCCTGGGTTGCAGGCTCGATCCCCAGTGGGGGGCGTGCAGGAGGCAGCCGATCCATGATTCTCTCTCATCATGGACGTTTCTATCTCTCTCCTTCTCCCTTCCTCTCTGAAATCAGTAAAAAAAATATTTTTTAAAAAAGGTATAATCTGCTGAATTAAGGCCAAAGCAGTTTCTGCCGCCTCAAAACTGTAAGTGCCCCCCCGACCCTCCATTAGCCCCCCCATCCCCCACCCCCGTGCTCAGTGCTCAGGGACAGATGCTGTGGTACCAGGGCCTCAAGCACATGGCATAATGTCATTCACACATCGACTTGTAATATTTTACAGCTGGCTTATAATAATTATGATTTATAATAAAAGTTAGAATATTTATACTATTTGGATATTTGGTAATAAACCCCCAAATATCTCTTTCATTCACTTTGTTTCCCCCATCAAATATATTTTTATTGATTTCAGAGAGG